CCCCTCAAACTGTAAACTGGATGGCTAAACTCCCTCGGCGTGTTATCTCTCTATTTGGCCAATTTCTACTATTTCCAGCCGCGCCCTCAAGCCTGGTAGAGGCTACAGTCTAGTATCAAATTGGCAAGACGGTATCAAATTGGTCAGGCAGTACTCTGCGGGGGTTAGTGGTAGCTCGGGTGGCCAACTGGATCGTCCCCTGCCCCCGAATGAATCTAATTGGAGATTACTATAAAACTGTTGTTCTGGATGGTAGTATTGACATAAACATCTGCAAACAGCCAGCGCTCTGTTCCTTAGCAACAAAAGTACACCTCTACTGCAGGTTCATATATTCTAGTTTGACTACTTCGCGTTTTACAATATTACGGAACAGAAACATTAATTTTCCACCAGAAACTATAGGGAACCGCCAGGTCATGGAAAGGGCACTGTGGACTAATCTATCACGCTACGCGCGGAGGGGTGTTATGGAGATAAACGAGTGTAGACCTGAGATGACCTTTGAACGGGCAGGAATCTCAAGGTTAAGGTCCCTTTGTCCTTCACGATATATGGCGGTCACGTTGTGAACTTTTGGTAACGCTATGATTCAGACTGATAAACATCTGTAATATCTCCAACAAACTAATATCTACAAAAAACAAATTAGATTAATGTCTGTACAAATTGCTGTAATGTACAAAATGTATAGAGTTGGACAGGAGAGATGGGTGGGGTGGGCAGGCCTTGATCAGAGAAACCTATTTTGAAAATTGTACGAACAACGACTAAGTTTATAATGATTTATAATATTTAATCAAGACAAAAAGATCTGATACCTGGAAAAGGGCACGTTTCCCGATTACTGTTCTTGGTAATGCAGTGATCACAGTAGACTTTACTGTAAGCTTTGCGTACATTTTTCTTATCAGATGGTTTTTTGTATCGAGTTGTACACAGCCGTCAGATGTGAACGCACTTCACTATAGTCTCGCTTCGAGGCGTTCGTTCAAACTGGTTAAAATATAGCACGCGAAGTACATACCACGGTTACCACCTGAGTAAAGTCCACAGGAAAGACAACTACCATTCACTACAAAGTCTTAACGACAATTGTTTCCGGAGAGTCGAAAGTGTAGTGATTTATTTTAAATCCGACAGCAATGACACGGAGAACCTAGCCAGCCAGAACTATTATAACACCCACTGGGGTTGGTACGTAATCATCATTTTTATGTTTACCGAAGGAAAACATATTGTTTTTACTACGTTTCTTCTTCTTCTTCTGTTCCAAACAGTAACCTCTGACCTGGCCAATGGCCTGATTTGTTGATGTCTGTCTCCATGGTAACTAGTGTTGGGTTACATAATGTTGCAATTTTATAGGAGGGATGTAGACTCCTGTCTGACCATTTATATGAATGTACATGTATTTGAGTAAGAAGAGCAAACCATATGCGAAGGTAAACATTATGCATTTGCTTTGCAAATGTTACCTTTCTAGTTGAAATGTTCTTCTAATAGAAATTTCAAAAGTACCAGTAGTACTATAGTGATTAAGAGCATTTTATTGAATGAAGACCAACCTAAGCAGCCACAACAGCGAATACATACCTAACATAAATCCAAACAGAGGTCATCCTGTTCAATACAAGACTCCTCATTAAAAAAGAACAAAAACGTATTCATTGCAGTGTACATGCATTGTACATTTGAACTAATTAGATGCACACGTCATCAATATCATCATCCAATCACAGCACATAGTCAAACAGAGAAGTATACAATAAAAAGATGTGAAGATGGCAGATCATTTTGGGAATTTTGTTCCTCAACAATCTACAAAATAGTACTCAAAAGGCAAAAAAAGCAATTTGATAATCACTTCACTAATAGTTGAATATGATAAACAACCCAAAGACTATCTATGAAAACTTGATAAGGAATAAGATACTGTTTATGTTGAAAACGTACCAGACAACTGCTTGGACGAAATGTAACGTCCATATGTCTATTATGAAAGTAAATAATACACAGTATTGAAAGGTCAAAAGACTCGATACTAATGAAAATCAAATCTTTTCAGGAGAACAAAAAAGAAACTTTAAACAAACCAACTGGGGAATGTATCTGCATATGATTAGTTAATTTTGAATGAAGTCTGAATCTCATCATTGTTAGTCTACAGTGACTCGTGTGTAATTATGACGTCTATGATGAAGTTGCTTGCATTTTCTCCATCTCCGCTGCTTGTCCGCGTTTCTCCTTCTTCTTGCTGCTGCCGAGCCTTCTCATGATGTACACCACTAGCAGCAGGCCGAGGAACTGCAGCAGAAACATAAAGTATCAGAATGATCAAAATTACTTTTATCTTGCCATTTGGGTGGGGAGGGGTTAGCAGGTTATAGGTCAACCATGTAACAAGACCTTTTGGAGTTCTCGGACAATTTCTCGAAATGGTTGCCGCAAACTGTGTGAGCATTCATGGCAAAAACCTTGTGTCCAAATACCAAATACCGAATTTAAATGTAGAACCACCAGATTGAATGGGGTGGTAGTTCTACATTAAAAGATGTGGGAATAGTACACTACTTCAACTGTTTAATGTATTCAAAGATAATTAGTTAGCGCCGGATGTAAGTATATTACTTTAAAAGTGAATATTGTAAAGTTTTGTAATGTTTAGCTTAATGTATGTATCTTTACTGTAAATCATACTGCATTTCAGCCAATGAGGGCTGCTAGTGCATGCTGTGTCTTGCAACAACGTGAATGAACCATTCATTCAATTATCCATATTTTGGCCAAATATTACCGTATCAATAATGTGTTATGTGGAGACACATGTCCAAATTACCATGAACAATGTAAATATGTTTCTTACCTGAATGCCTCCGTGGGTGAAGGCGACCGCAAACACGTACCTCTGGTACTGAATGACTATGTCGTCAAACTTCCCCTGACAGGGCTGGAACAACAAACGGCAAGATGTTAGCTCTACCGGGGAAGGAGAGGTAGGTGTCTGTGTGTGTGTGTGTGTGTGTGTGTGTGTGTGTGTGTGTGTGTGTGTGTGTGTGTGTGTGTGTGTGTGTGTGTGTGTGTGTGTGTGTGTGTGTATTTGTGTGTGCGTGTATTTGTGTCTGTGTGTATCTGTGTCTGTGTGTGTGTGTGTGTGTCTGTGTGTATCTGTGTGTGTGTATCTGTGTGTGTGTATCTCTGTGTGTGTGTGTGTGTGTGTGTATCTGTGTGTGTGTGTCTGTGTGTCTGTGTGTGTGTGTGTGCGCGCGTCTGTGTGTTTGCGTGTGTGTGTGTGTGTTTGTGTGTGTCTGTGTGTGTCTGTGCGCGCGCGTCTGCCTCTGTGTGTGTTTGTACACATACCTGTGATGACTTGTATACTTACCGCGTATGGATCGCAGCGATCGGAGACATAACTGCTATGGCAAGTATCGTCTGAACATGCATCAATCCAGTTGCCGGAAAACGTCAGGCCACAACACAGGAACTGCACAGACACAGAGATGGATTAGTATGAAAAAAAACTCCTTTAAAACAACTAAACAGAAATATTATGATGTTTCAATTCCTGATTACATTACCTGTGTGATAACTACTGGCTTTGTTATCGTCAGTGAGACTGTGATTCATGTCTATAACTCTAACACTCACCCGCTCCTGTGCTCTCTTGACCGCTGCCTGTAGCTCGACAGGCCGGTTGTCCAGCTTGTCTCCGGCCAGAGCAGTGACCAGAGAGTTCCCAACGCGATCACTGATCTAACGGTTGTACAATCAGTGCACTCGTTAGAAACATAAAGGCATTTAAGGCACTTCTAGCTATAACTCTTCATTAATATGATATTTATTTATTCAGAATTGTAACAAGACAATACAATGTGTGCACCAGGCAGCAAGTATGCTGATAGCGTGCACACCTAACACATACCTGGACATATGAGGTAAAAAAAAATAGTTAGAACAAGATATATACACAAATAACATTATCTAATAAGTTACACCTGCAATTAAAATCAATTTCATAACTGTACAGCTATTTGCATGTTTAGTGTGGCTCAGCTGGAAGAGGCACAGAATCTTTTTGATTTGGCAATGAACATTATTAATATGATGTTAACGGTCATGCACTACTGTAAATCATTCCAGTCGGTACTTGCATGAAGAACTTAACAATGTGTTTAATTTCTTCCATGCTACTATGATCGTGAATGATTCTTTTTGAGAGAAAAAACAGTTATAATAAATCTATTTATTTTTTAAGAAAACTGGGCATTTTTCTGATGAGATGGTAAAACCTATTAGTGCTATGTATATCTGTTACTTAATGGATCACCTTTACTTTCATCTAAACTCAACTCTCAAATACTCATTATTACACAACTAAATCTCTCCGAAACTAAGCGATTTAACAACTGATTTATACTTCTGTATTCATTTATAATATCTTAAAAGCTACACTCTTTTCTCTTTTTAAATGGACGATTCCCATGTTTTGTGATGTAATTTTTATTTTATGTCCAGTGGTGACGTGAATATAAGCATGTAGCTTGAGTGCGTCACTACTATGTATTGTATATTTGCATGTTGAAATAAATTTGAAAAAAAGCTGGTACAAACCGTGACCGTCATGACGTTGTGTCTGTAGCTGTAGGAAAGTCCTCCAGCTGTGAAGCTCAGGACGGTGATGACAAGCAGGACTGCGCAGAACTGTGGGTGGGTGTAATACATACAATGAAGAAAATGTGGAATGAATTCGAAGAGTCTATATATTGTACGCCATACCATATTCGTATGTTGATGCATTTGTTCAACCTTCATGTATGTTGTAGAATATAGTATAATGCTAGACGTAGATATAGTCTGTATTTTCTTTCTTATGTTGTTTGTAACTGCAATTAGCCCTCGGGCATGTATTTGCAATAAACCTTCTATTATAACTTCTGTGAACTGCAGTGCCAGGGCCCGGTTCTGTGGAACCAACTTTCCAGGGAGCAAAGACAACTATCATCTTTAACATCTTTCAAAGACTCTCTGAGTGGGACTTGAGTGGCATATGTTTTTATGAATGGTATGTATGTTGAATTGAAATTGTAATGTACGTTCTTATTGTGTATTCTTATTTTCTAATATATATTGTGTATTTTATGTAACACTGTGTAACCCCAGGGATACCTGAAAACCAGGTCAGTTAGACCTGAGTGTACATGTATTACTCTGGTTAAATAAAACAAATGAAATGAATGAATGAACGTACGATGCGCAGCAGCAGCTGGTTCCCTTTCTTGGCTCCGATGAAGCCCAGGACGCCGCCGATGACTCCGAACACGGCGGAGGCGATGAGCAGGTGGACCGGGTAGTAGAACCACCCCAGCCCGAACTCAAACCGCATCCCCGTGGACACGATGTCATCCGCCATGAGCCAGATGGCAACGCCGAGAACACCCCCGCTGGCCAGCTGCAGGGGACATGGGAGAACTTGTTACATATTTGCTTATTTGTTTATTTCAGTTTGCACATAAAAATAAAAACAGTATGTAATGACTATGTACAACCAAATGTGGGAGAGAACCCAAAAAAACCTAAGGGTTTATCGAGTGGGTTCTCCTAAAATCCACTTGTCTTTTATGACCTCTTTTTACACACGTGGATAATAAATAAGTGACAACGAAACAAACAAATTAAATCAAAATAGATACAAAATAATATAAAGATAACACGACGAACTAATTAACTAACTAATTGACTAAACAATAAAGTAAGACTATCAAAAACATGTCAAATTGAACAAGAAAAAAATTCCATTAGTCAAATCATAAGTTATTATGCATAAGAGCAAAGGATAAACATAAGAAAGCAATATCAACACAAAATTAAATAAACGTAGCATAAGAAAACAAGGAAAACAAAAGCAAATCAAGAAGTGGTTGACATACTGTAAAGGATAGAAACAAAGATTACAAGATAGGAAATATGATTATGTTGCCGTTATATTATGATAAGAACAAACTTTATTGTACAACAACTGTCGCCTAGTTACCAGACATACTTTAGCTCCTGAGTCTATATCCTCCCATACACTCGACAGCTAAAATAGGATTGGTAACCAGGCTACAACAACTGTACGGGGTACAAGAATGGGCTACAACACATGGGATCTGCTGATACATAACAGACATACTAACACACAAATCTACCTTACAAGACAGCCTATAAAGTATGGGGTGTGAAAATGTGTTCTTATAATTGTGTGTCGTATGTGCTTTCTTGTTTTTAAACTCAGTTTCTGACCTTCGTAATTGTATGTTGACATCGATGCTGTATCAGTTATGTTACTTTTTAAATGATCCATTGCGATTTGTTATAATGATACTGTTTAAACCATGTCCATTTAAACCTATACATAAGGACAAGTTTACTCAATACGTTGAAGCAAATAACGAAAAACATTTCATTAGAAATCTTACAACTGAGAGTTGTACTATACATGAGAGAAACGTAATTATTGTAACTGCTGACTACAGTTTCCTGGTTATGGTGACATGCCCGTAGCCAGGGGGGGTTAGGGGGTTCGGAAACGAACCCCCCCCCCCCAAGCCTGAAAGGTCAAATTTTTGGTCCACTTTTTATCTAAAGGTCCAAAATGTTTCTTTAAAAGATAGACTGATTCGTGTCGCTAGCAAGGCTGGAATCGTAGGAAAACGGCTCACTTTGTCATTGAAAAAAGTTATCTCTGATTTTTCTTTGAAATCGTCTAAAACGCAGGAAATGCCATTTCAGAAGGTTCATTTTCCAAAATTTCCCGGGGGAGCATGCCTCCAGACCCCCCTAGTAACCTCGCGCCTTCGGCACTCGCTGGTCCCTCAAGCAGTGGGAAGAACCCACCCCCACCCCCCATTCAAAATCCTGGCTACGGGCATGGGTGCCATTCATCTGCTGTAGCTAACATGCACGTGGACCTTGTCAGTTTTACTACGAGTAACGTTGCACGTAGACACGCTTCCGTTACAGGGTTTCTCCTTCGTCGAGATCTGACCTTGAACCCCGCCGGGGCTATACGTAGAGGGGGAGGGGGGCTTGCCTGGTCACTACTTCCTGACGTCTACTGTCGTCTATATTGACGTCTATTCAGTTGTCTTATAGAATGAACACATTGGTCCTTCGCTATATTCTCAGGACAAATACGTTCTTACAAGTGTACTAAACAGTGGGTACTCAGTATAGAAGAACACCATGCATTGGCATAGGTAAACAATGAACTTGGCGTCTTTCCAGTTCCTTCAAATATTAGCTGATTTGGAGATCTGTCTGTGTACAATAGCGACGTCATGGGCTATTCAGAATTAAACAAGATATGTAAATATTGTGGCTTTAAGAAGCAGTCAGACATACTAGCTGCATAGCTCAGATTTTGCGTCTGTATAATTTGTATAGTTCATTTTTCCACTTTTTGTGCAGTTGTAGAATGCATTAATTTTGTAATTCTTTGAAAATGCCCGCAAGCTGTATGTTCGTTTTGCAACTGACCAAAGCAATTTTCAGAGCATATTTCATGACGATTTGGCAAATGAAACTATAGTCTGTAAGTGATGAGTTCTGTAAAAGATCTATCGTCCTATACAAACTTGCGATTTCGAGTGTTCCACTAGTAGTATCTTGCAGGACTGTTATGGTTTTCCAACGACATACTCTATGGTATGGCGTAGATGCGTTTGCATCATCTACGATTTTTTTTGTTAATTTTTAAGTCTATTTACTGTACTGGAGAGTTATTAGTCATCAACACACCCCTTCAAGGACACTTTGTGAATGGATTGCCGTGCGCACTTGTGCAAATACAATAGATAATGTCCTTGCACGGTGTAAATGTAGAATAACACCTAATACACTGACACAGGCAGGTACTAATTATGCCGCTGAGCCATGCCGCTGGCAGAAGTACGGTGTATTCATGCAAATAAACCAGGTAAATATTTAACCCTGAACCGACTGGTACGGAGTGGTGCCAAAGGTATCCGCCGCCTACACGTGGAAAATACCAAATCATTGATTTCTCTTCTACGGTTTAACGTGAGAAAAACCGGAGAGCAAAGTCTCTGCCGTAGTGAGCTTTTGATTCAAATGTGTGGGTTACTGCAATGTGCGTATGGGAAGTTGTCACAAAAACACGCGTAGGGGCATAGGGGCTGTGTCTTTTTGTATCCTTGAAGTGCTGCTTATGCAAATAAATGGCGCCATTTTCCAAAATGTGGTTAACACATTGTGTGAGAGACGTTCTGCTTTTCACTTGATGTACATCTGGTTTTCCAGACTAAAAATGAATGCCTGCATAGATAGAGGACTTACTCTCTATGGTCTATGGCATAGTGAGACTATGGCATCAAGCTGAAATATACACCATCAGAAATCTTAAGAACATTATCCACAATAGCTTGAAAACCATTGAGACAAACAGAGTTATCAAAACGCCAGTCATATCAGCCCTTAAAACTGAGAATATACGTACACCGTGTTCATTGAAAATAGCATCACTAACGGTTTCGGTCTAAAACGTGGCCTCTTTCTTTATAGAGCTTTTATAACTGTACAAAATATGTAAATTCTTGAGTAGACATTCGTCAAATATGCTTGGGAATCATGCAAGCAAAGCCCCCTTCAATTTCAATATTCCTGTTCAATCATATATTGTTGATGACTACTTATATATATGTCATAAGAGATATTACACGGGTACGTCCATGTATGAGGCGCGTTTTGTGTGAGCTTGGCTGCTGACGTGTTAAGTTGTGTGAACAAACACACGGTGTTGGGCGGTTCAACAACAGCGGCTTCAGGACTGCCATTAATGGTGTCCTCGCCGTCTTTAACTTCAGACCAGGTGAAGCAAGCTTTCTGAACGCAGTGATATAAAAATGTTGAGGCACTTGATTACTTTTGTTGAGGCAACAGTAAAACGTAAGATTCTCATATGAGGGTATACGATTTAGCTTTGCTATTTCACACAGATTTTAACACCTCTGGCACGACTATCTTCCATCGATGTATCGTGGTACTGTTTTTTCTTTCAATCTTCATACTTACCGCTGCATGTCTTACGCATGTGCTGCAAGAAGCGTTTTGGTAAATTGAATTTTCAAACGGTTTTTCCTAACCGTTTTCTGACGTTGAAGGTGGTTGGACGATGCCCAGGGCAATGTCTGTCTTACGTGCGTAAACAACACCTGCGCTGAGGAATCAGACGAAAAGAAGTATGCACTTACCCATATCAGAACCAGTAAAACCTGAAAGGCGGTCATGGTGACGCCTCCTATGGCTTTAGTCGCCATCCTGGTGTCCTTTTTGCAGAATCGTTGGACGTTAGAGGCTTCAAAAGTTCGCCGATCACAGCGTACAGCCGATCACAGCGTACCTATTAGGTAACCAATAACTCCCCACGCTGCTTGACGATTGCGCCATATAACGGTCGTCTGTGGGTAAACAGCCTGCTCAAAAAATGGCACCGTTTCAGAAGTACCAAATATCTACAGACAAAATTGACTTCTCTATGACTACTGGTATTATTATAGTAGTGTGCATTATAGTGCAAGCTATTATAATCCATATGTAATGATGACCAGCAAAGATTGTTTAAAAACTTTTGACCCATTGAATTATTTAAAGTATGGTAGTAGAAGTAACATGTCTACAACAGGAGTACACGTTTTGATTGGATCCGGACTAGGAATATATTTTTATAAATCTAATTTCAAGAGCCCGTCTTTATTACTTTGCTTTAACTTGCTCCGCTTCTGCTTTGAATAACGATAAACCTTTGGCTCTTATTTTAACAAAATGCAGCAAGTAATGAACAGCCAGCAGCCTGCACCGTATTATTCTGACCTTGCTCCACTTCAAGGGTAACTGTTTGTCCAACGACCGTCCTAACCTTTGACCTCACATTATACTGTTGCCCTTTGAGTCACTCATGTTTGCCTAAATACTTAGCCCTGTATGTGTACCTGTGACATGTAACACCGGAATGTAGAACTTTCCGTCAATTTATGAAATCTCAACCGAATCAGACTTGCTAACTGTGTGGCAAACGTTTCGCAGACTACTTCAACGTTCTATGCCACCTAAAAGGGATTTCATTACAATATATTAGGAATTTTAAGGAGGCACGTTCTGTTTGCTGTGCACCCTGTCATGTTTGTTATCTGGGTCTTTGTTTGCTGCACACCTGTTGTAGCCCTACGGGGATTGGTCCACTCACTTCTAATGTGGGGGGGGGTGCCATATTTTGTGTGTGAAGCGTTTCTGGTTATCAGTTTGAAAAGTTATTAATAGTGTATTTTACGGCATACGTGGAATTAAAGTAATTGGTCATGGAAGCATGCAATGTGGATTCTATTTCGCGCATTTCGCGAAGTTGAAACATACGAAGGCCCATAACGACACTTCCATACACCTCTTCCGCGACCCTGCCACACCCATTCTCCCACGGCAGAGCTATCCCGCGGCAAATACGTTAGTTAGCCTTTGGATTAGCTCTGCCCTATCATCCCCACATTCGTACTCTTCAGGGCCTGATTTATAAATATTCAGGAGCTTGCCTTATTTGGCGCAAACCAATCAGCGCCCTAAATTCAACATGGCGGACATGCAAACATTTCTGGATTCCTGTTTCGCTGGCTAAAATACAACACAGACCTTTCCCCCACCTATCCTTACACTTAGGAAGACGTCTCTGTTGTGAATCAGTGTCTGTACCGTGCTAATGTTGACGATTCCGATTCAAACAATTCCTGCGCACGGCTGGCCCAAAAATAGCCGACAGGATGTTTTCAGTGGACCCAAAGAGGCGATGTAAGCCGTGATCAAGCGACCTTTGACCTTAGCTTTCCACTACCGAAAGCTATGCCTCTGATTGGCTGAAGCTCGTCGGCCTGAAGAAGTGGTTTTGGCCGGGTGGTTTGGTAGGGGTGCTGCCGTACTAGTAAGGAAGCAATCCTGCCTCGGGAGGATGGCCACACCGCGCTTCCAAGGGATATACCTTCCATACACCTCTTCTGCGGAATGGAAGGTATAGCCCTTGGCAACGCGGTGTGGAAGGACCGCGGAAAAGGTGTATGGAAGGTATATCCCTTGGAAGCGCGGTGTGGCAGGGTCGCGGAAGAGGTGTATGAAAGTATCGTTGTGGGCCTTCGTAGAAATAACACTAGAACAGAAGTAACCAACTCTATTTAGAAACGTTGGCTTCATGGGTTTGCCAAACTACAGAAGACTTCGCGTCTCTCACGTGCGCCTCTAACGATGTAAAACAGAACTGCAGTCAACAGTTTCAAAGCCTGATTATTCCAGTGGGATAAGTTCTCGTTTCCTGCTTCTCCCTGCACTCGATCGATCAAAATGATTATTGGCGTATGTTTCATTCCAACAGCCTGAACTGGGGCCAGAATTTCACTATGATTTCAATCATGCATATGGATTTGATTGCACACAATTCCTGTTTTTCAGGCGAACGAAATCCATAGAAAACAAGAAATCGGAGATCTCATGCCTACATGAGAATATTTACAGCCTTTGCATTGGGGGAGGGGGGGATGACCTATTTCAGGCCAAAGGTCATCCCCCTGTATTAGCTTTTTGAAAACAAAAACCTGTTTTATTATGGGTTCACCACACCACGAAGTGGTGGTGAACCCATATTGCTTTTTCTGATGTTTCTTCTCCTTCTCCTTCTTCTTCTTCTTCTTCTTCTCCTGCCATTTTTTAAATGGATTCAGCTTCTTCATTTTAGGGCCCAAGGTCCTGAAATTTGGTATGGAGGTACAGTGGGCAAATACCCCTAGGCGTTTTTTAAATTTTTGTGATACAAGCTTTTACAATCGTTTTATTTGTTTTTTTAGCGGTCCCCATAGGAAAGTACTGTGGGGGCGTACGCGCGTGACGTAATAAGAAAGGAATTCGGCGGTATGCCCATATATGGGCATGCAAGCATGAACCTGACGCAGACCAATCTATTCTTCTTGCTGATTGGCTGTTGGATTTGATTGGATTAACTCAATTAACACCTGTTCAAAGCCATTCCATTTTGACAGTATGAACTCAAGTGTTTTGGTAGGTACAGCACAGGCCACGAAATACGCATCGATTTTCGAGGGACGTTCTGCGGGAGAGTGCAGGACGCTGTGCGGGACTTCCCTCGGGAGAGTGCGGGACGTCCTCCGGGAGAGTGCGATACGTTCTGCGGGAGAGTGCGGTACGTCCAGTGGGAGAGTGCGGTACGTTCTGCGGGAGCCAGACATTTTGCTCTTCTCTGTTGGAACAACGCAAGTTGGAGGTCAATGACCTGCGCCCGGCGTGTAAACAAAAAAGTTAC